CTCCCCACCCCAACTTGAAGGACCAACCCTCAGGACATGACAAAAAGAAGAATTTTCCCTTCTAGTTATGCACAGAAGAAGGGTTGTCTATCAGTTTAGTCCTACGGGGTTGGAGATAGTACATGCTGTTCTCGGAAGAATGCCTCCTCGGCACAAACAACACTCGGAAGAGCCTTGGCGTCAATTACACCCCCTGGAAGTGAGCCATCATCAGCCACTATGGTCCTAACGGCGTTGGGCACCAATTGGATAAGAGTAATCCCATATGCCCTCAATAGTTCGGAAATCAGCGAATGAAGGGGAAACCGAAGACCAAACTGGAGAAAATGTTGATTGACTCAGATCTCCCACTCCTTTGGAGTCCACATCCGTTCTCCTACTTCGGGCACCCTCATATCATAGGACGAGGGAATGAAGTACTGCCTTGCCAGAGCTTTGACGTGGTCCCGATCCAGAGAGTTCTCGAAACCTAGGCGGAGGACATCGGTCTCAGCTACTGCCTGGGCAGCCCTCGTCCCGAGAACATTGTCTAGGGTTCCCTCCCCCTGGGCTGGGCAGGACCCTTCGGCCTCCCTTGGTGTCATGGAAGCGACACTCTCATAGGGAGGATCCTCGCCTTGACGGTTGCCTTCGGCACCCTCAGGGGCTACCCTCCCCCAAAGCACTTCAACCTCCTGCCGAGGGGGGACAAGAGTAGAAGGACTCAAAGGGGAAAGGGGAAAGGGGTACGGGAAGAGCTCCCTTCCAACTCATTTGAAAGATCATAGCACTTTGGACCAGAATCTGAGAAAGTCATTGTTTAAATTTACCTAAGAAAATTTGAGGAAGAAAGATTGAGATTGAAGTGTTGAAGGTTGGAGAGTTTGGAAGCTGAGTTCGCTCGAAGACAAAGGCGCTTAGAGGCAAAAGACAAGAATGTTGCCGCTAAGGGCCCTATTTAAAGAAGAACAAACGGCCCAAATTTCTTGAGATCCAACGGCTGAGAAGCCACTGCCTCCACAGCTCAATCATGGCACGCCACATAACGGTCACCCTCGGAAGGTGAAATGACGCAAATCATCCCTAATCCAACGGACGCAAAACGCCTCTACACTTGTGATCTAGCCGCGCCGCACCCCCAAGCGCCCGTCCTCGGAAGGCGAAATGACGCCCAGGGTGAATTGACGTGTCCGCCCAATATGAACCACTAGGTTATGCGACCCGGCCGTGCAAATGCGCGTATCGGTCCGTCTAGAAATCTGTCCCGTGCATGGATCCTCGGACCTCACAGGCCCTCGGCTTAAACAACCTTCGGCTTCGTAGGCCCTTGGCATAAATAGCCTTCAACTTCATAGGTCCTCAGCCCAAATGGTGGCAGTATTGTAGACCACTGAGCACGCCCTCTAAGTCACTTGTCCGAAGCAGTAGTACTGTAGACCACTCGCAACCTCGGCCCAACTTACGAGGATGAACCAGGTAGAGATGTGAAAGAGGATGCCACTGCAGGGTACACCTCGGCTACCGGGCCCACTAGCGCTCACCATTACTACTCCCATCAGCTAAAGCCGAATTTTTCTCCTCGGCCTCGGGAATGGGGGGCAAGTGATGTGGGGTGACCCAACCCAGCCCATTCGAGGCTAGGAGGCCCAACCCACGAGTGCCAGACCTGGGAACAAGATCTGCTACATTAGGAGTTACTCTGCTCCCCCTCGTATGGATCCAATCGCGGAGCGCCCACACGTCCCCGCAGAGCACTGTGACTGCTCTTGTACGGCACCCATCCCAGGGGTTCATCTCCACCTACCTCCAGGCGGCTCAAGTATAAATAGAGGTGCCCCCCTCCAGGTAAGGGGGATTGAAGACAATCTGCATCTGGACTTAGAACTGATCTCAAAAGCTATATTCTAATTCCCCTCTTTGTACCCCGTACTAACTTGACCGTCGGAGACTATGCCTCGGGCTCTCACCCGGAGCCTCTGACATATTCTGCCTTGCAGCACCTCGGCCACCTACCCTCAGCTTCTACAATATTCGGAGCCCTCTTCGCCTCAGCCTGCGTACCTCGGCCTCGGCAATAAGCTTCCCGAACCCTTAAAGCCTCCAGTTAACCTTCATAGTCTAGGAACAAAATTACTTTATTGTCCTCGGCCATTCCGAACATCAACATTAATTATACTTAAATTTAACAACCTAAAAATAGTTTTAATCGGAGTTGAAACCAGCTCAATTGATATTATCATAAGGTTCTTTTAGCAACACCCCCGTGGGATTAATATACCTCTACTTCTTAGTATTTGGCATGTAGCTAGGTTCAAATGCCAATACATATTACATTATGGTACCATATATACTTCACAATATTTTGAAACTAGGGTAGGCTAAAGGTTATTGATACCATGTAAAAACCCAGACTATACTATCAAAAAATAGAAAAACAGACTATGCTCAGCCATGATCATCCTTAAAGAATTCTTGATTCATCAGCTATTTTTTAACAAACTATAGGGTCCTTAAAAGAAAACGGATGATAAATATATAACCTATGTGAGAAGTTACTTTTTCAGAAGTAACTTATAAAAACAAGTGACCAACTAATTGCTACCTCAGTTGCTTAGGTGTGTGAACAGGAGGATTGGATCACAAGTCTATTAAAACATCAACGGTGTACATATTGCAAATATCTAAATATGGTTTAGGTGTAATGCATGTATATAAATTTGTAACATTTATACATAGTGGTTATAAATATGCAATATACATACCTATGTATATCATACATTGTTGGGTCAGGCTCAAGTTGGGCCCACCAAGTTGCAGCCCTAGAAACCTTTCCCAACAATGTTCTTGTCCCATCTACTTATATCTTTTTAAACAAGTGTAGGAAAATGATTTTTTTCAAGAATTATCCATATTTCTCAACATTTTTTGCAAATCAAATAGACACAAGTAACATTATGTGGGAAGTTCATTTTTATAATTAATCATCTAAACCCACTAAACAAATTTACAACAAGTTGCATGGTGCCAAGTGGTTAGTAGGTAAGGTCTCACGCTAGTTGTAGAAAACTAGCAATTAGGGTGGCTTATGAGCTTGGGAGGATCAATTCAATCTTCTACCCACATGACATTACAGCTGTACATCGAGAACATGTCCCCGTAAATGATAGCATGAAAATATGGGAAATATTCTTAATGTGTGGGTAATGTCATTGACATTCCAAACACTTGGAAGATGGGCTATCCCCTTTGGGTAAAAAAGGATATGGTTACTTCTTGTTAAAGAATGATCAGAATTTACCATGAAATTGAGTGGTCTTTTCTCATGCATTGAGTTTTCCTTCCGTTTTCTTTTTTTTTTTTTTGGATTTTGAGAGGGGGAAGTAGATGAATGGGATTTTAGTTCCCATTCATCAAGATACCCATGTTCCTTTTTCTAGATTTATGTGGGGTTTATAGAAAATTTATTTTCTCTGGGTATCACTCCCGTAGATAAGTGATACCCATCTTTCAAAAAATAACTTTCCCACTTGAAGAAAAAGCTGCCTATACTTGGATGGGACAAAATTACCCCTTTTAATAATGACATTTTATGTTTAAAATCACTATTATTTATTTATCTAAAAAATAAAAGAACATGAATAAATGGAGGCCTAATAATTATCATGAACAGTGTTCTAGATATGATGCCCTCTACCACCTTATTTATTTATTATATGATTGGATGTTTTTTCTTCTTTCTTATCACTTGAGGATCGGTTTATTTAATTCATGAATAAAAAGTAACTTGCTCAGTTTTTCTTCCTGACCAATCTCAATCAATCAGAGAAATATATATATCCTCTTTTCAAATGGTGTTGGTGGTTTGTTACGAAATCACACTCGTTATGGGTCTGAGTCCTTCAGTCTATCCAATAAACATCTATCAAAAATGCCAAGTAATTGTTCAAACTTCCAAAGTCTTGGAGGAGTATGTTTTTCTGTCGCAGCGATAAAGTTAGAGGAACTCATTAATGGAATACTAGTGATGGAAGTCGTGTAAAGGTGTGGTATGATCCAGGGACACCTGGATACCATGCAACATTTTCAGGCCTGGTAACAGTCCTAGTGGGCTAAAGTGTCTAGTCAATTCATCTTTCATTGGAGAGAAGCTTATTTGGTCCTTTACACTTCATAGCACCTATACATGTAGACCAAATTATAAACTCCTCACGAACTCTTCTCCTACTGCTGCTTATGCAGCTGGTGATAATTCATTCTTTTCGAGCAAGATATGGAGTCATAAGAAGGCTCCTGTTGGTTCAATTCTAGCTAAAAGAACCAGCTGTGTTGACCCATCCAGTCCGAGTTTGCCACTTGGATATCTTCACTGCTCGGTGACTAAGGCTGCTTGATTGGCTTCTTGATCAATTGTCCTAAGAACTGGTGCTTAAATACATTGATTATTTGATTCATGGATTAAGGATTGGTTGACGGATTCCTCTAAGGAATTATTCATCACATGAGCTGTTACTTTGTGGTATGTTGCACTGCAGTCAAACGAAGCCAAAGGAAAAAAAAAAAAAAAAAACAAAGCTCTAAAGCATTCTCATTTCCAGTAATTCTCAAATTTACTTGCATATAGGTCTTTGCAAACAAAACAATGAATATCATACTAGCAAGAAAGATTATCAAAGAGGATAAATATTACACCATCAACATTTAATTATCTCATTCATAGCACCAAGTGTCTTTTCTGAAACATGAAGACTTCCCTACTTATGTATTTGCTAAAAAGAAAAAAAAAATACAAGAACATCTTTACAGAACTACAAATACCAGGAAAGGAATCTATAGGTAATCCAATGTATTGATTCAAAAACCCCGCTTCTAATCTCTACTACTCATGCTTCACCTAAGAGAGTCCTAAGGCAACATAGTAAATATATACATATGAAAATCAATGAAACATAAACCAGTGAGGCAAACATTTCCATTCTTGTATCTTAGTCTAAACATCATTACAATCCTTCCCCATGCTACCATCAAGTTCTTCTTTTTGCTTCCCTTTGCCCCTCCCCACGATCATAGCTTGAGCGTTGAATGGGATCAGAGAGTACTGCATATGCTTGTCCAATTATTTTAAAAAGCATTTCAGCATCCTTCCGTACCTTATTTCCAATTTCCTTACACGGTCCAGCATCTCTGATTCCAATTTTTGCAAGTAATTGGCTTGTCTTGTCTGGATGGTGTCTGAGGAATGCTTTGTGGTAAGCCTTCTTAATATCACTTGCTGTGGCAGATGGTTTAATTCCTAAGATAAGGTACATATCCAAGGGTGTCCCCCTTTTGGCTTCTTTTTCTGCTCTGGAAAGTTTCTGATGAGCTTCATTTGAATCAATTTGACCTCTTGTTAATCCACCACAAGACTGATTGACCATACTCTTTGATTGCTTTTGGATAAGATATATATATCTCTGAAGATCAGTAACTGCTTGCCCATAGTCTCTTATAATCTCATATAATGTAGCTCTCAAATAATTTGCCTTTGGGTAATTTCCATCAAGGGATATGGCTAAGCTACAATCAGCAATAGCGTCTGTAATTTGTCCCAAAGCTTTATATGCAGAAGCTCGATGGCGAATACAACTTGCAACAAAATGGTGTGACCTGTTTTTACAAGATAAAGCAGCGGTATAATGTTTAACTGCATCTGAATAATTTCCTGATTGAAATGCTTTGTCCCCTGCAGCCATGGGGCTCAATGGCTTATGATCACTTACATCCTTCTCAGGAACAGATTTCTCTTTCTTTAGATTCTTAATTAGTTCATCAAGAATGTTCTCGCATAGCTCCAACTTCCCTGCAATGGCCTTGAAACTTATTTCCTGCCGCCAAGGCCAGAACGAATAGTTATTTGCATTCTGGGGATCAGACTGGCCATGAGCACTGGCTGTGCCACAATGTTGTTCTGCATATTCAGAGATCTGTTTGCACAGTTGAATCACCTCACTATATTTCTTCAGGTTCAAGAGAGCACTTGCCTTCATTTTAAGTAATTTCTCTGAGTATGGACTTATCATTAGACCCTTAGAGATTACATCCATTGCACTTTTCGCAGCTTCAGATGTTGTTTTCTTCAAAAGCTCAGTAGCTTGATCCATATAATCAGCCACTAGCAGAGACTTTTGCAAACCATCAGAAGCCTCTTTTACAGGTTTACAGTCTATGCCCATGCCAAGGTTTGACAGCCTCGATCAAAAGCATTTCATGAAACATTTCCCAGCATCATCAATCTCCCCAAGTGCAAGATAACAGCTTCCACTCGTAACTTCAACTTTGAGAAATTTGGGATCAATTGTAGAAGCTTTCATACAGTCCTCAATTGCTTCTCTCATCCTTCCAAGAGACATCCTTGTCAATGCACGGTCGCTATAACACAGCACCACAGCCCCTAAGCAACTTCTGAGTGCCCCATGTGAAGAAGCACAGTTCAACCCAGATGTGTAATACTCCTCTGCCTTTCGAAGATTACCACCACGATAAGCTTGGTTTCCCATCAGTCGCCACCTCTCAACCAACGTCTCAACAAATTGTTCAGATGTCTGAGACATGGTAAACCTTCTTCTTGACCCTTACAAGAAACTCAAAAGTAAACAAATAAACACTAATAAGTACAGAGCAAGATTATAACTGATGAGTATTGAAAACAAAAATAACAGTGGAAAAATGTGTCAAGATTCTTATGATCCTGCATATAAAGAAAGATTCTCACAATTCCAAGAAAGAAATATAGTCTACAGAAATTGATTCCAGGAATGGCCACCTTCCACCTGCGGTGAATTTAGGGATAAAAGGAGCATTAATGGCTATCAAGGGGAACCATAGACCTTGAATCCTAATGATCCCAAGTGATTTAACGAAAAAGAATCACTCCAAATTAGTTCTGCAACTTAGGTTTATTTACATGTTTAAGGCAGACAGAGAGAGAGTTGGATGTAAGTTGATTTCGTTTTAGATGATGCATTTTCATTTTTACTCTGTATACCGTGAGGTGTTGGATGTTGGGGACAAAGATTGATTTCAATGATTGAAAGTAACGAGGATAATAGAGATGGAAAACAAAAATAAGAGAGACCTGACAGTGTCGTGTTCCAGCTGCAGCGACGTACCAAAGCCGTTGACAGAGGAGGTAGGTTCTAATATTCTATGCAGGACTACGCGAGTACGCGACCATTACTAGGGTTTGGAATGGAGCAAACTGGAAAGAAAGAAAAAGGCGGGAAAGAAAAACAGACGATCGGAGTGAGATTTCTTTCCTTTATTTTGTTCGACTATGATATGGAAAAGAGGGGATATGGGAAAAACAACTAACCAATATATTGGGAGTTCAAATCAGTCCCTCACAACGTCCCACAGCACATCTCAGTCATGTATTGGGAGATGTCCCCAGTATGAGATGTGCTGTGAGATATTGTGGGGGGCAATCTTGTAGGGGGTTGATTTGATCTCATATATTAAAATCACAAATGTGGTTGCGAACAAGGTGTTTTGGTTTGAAGGAAAAGGTATGAAAATCTATACAAAATTTATAAAGGTTTCTTTGCTTTTTATTTTCCCTACTTTTTCCTTCAAACCAAACATAGCCTAAATGAAATGATAGGGATCCCGTCTCTCTATCTCCCTTCTTTCCATTGGGAGAAACACCTGTCCCATAACATGAGCCTTGACACCAACGTGCCAAGTTTGGAGTTGTATGGGGCGAAGTTAAACTTTTCTCAATTTATTAAATAGAAATAATATAAATAAAAAGGAACATTTACCACTCCTATAGTTTAATAGATTTACTTAAACTTATCCTATAGTTTTCATTTTATTGCAACACTCCTCATAATTTGCTACCTATTTATCGACCTTCAGAACTATTTGATGTGCCATCTCAAAATAGTAACATAATCACCTAAACTAAGTGGCAAATAATGTACAAGAGCATGAGTCCATGGTTGTTTATTCCAAAACTAAAGGGAAGGGTGAGCCATCATATGGATGGCCGAACCATGTAAAGAGGTTGGGCAAAATTTCAAAAAATTTCTTTTACCCTTCTGGGAATCGTATTCCCTGATTTAGAAAAATTGTATTTTTCAAGGTTCATTTTTGAAACAAGTCGAACCAGATTTGAAACCAAAAGGAGGGAGGGATATACCTAATACGGAATACACAAACGTAGCTTCTAACGTGGTGTTCATGCCCAAAGAAGTCACCAAATCCTGTCTCTACTGAATATGGCACAGTTTAGGATGAAGCAGGATCAGCAGAGTTGTTCTTCAACAAGAACTACAATCCTTCAGCAAGGATCATGCAAGGGAGTGTGAGCACAACTTTAGATCTGATTTTTCTAACAAAAATCAGAATCAAGATCGAATCTTGATCAATCCAAGACTATGGAGATTGAACAGGGTAAGGTAGCAAAAATAGAGGAAAGAACTGGATTCAGCAAAAGTGTTAAATTGTAGTAGTTTGCCCTCTATTTATAGCCTTTCTAGATCAGCTTCCTAATCCTATTTGGAAAGAGTTTTTTGATCCAAATCTTTATTTGGATCTGAACTCTTAAGTGGATAAGGCTTAACATATCCTCTTCCTAACCCAGATCCAGATCTAAACTCAAAATCGCCCATATTTAATTTTAATTAATCAAAATTAACTTAGTTCAAAATGGGTTTTAGGCCCATTAAGTTATCAAGCTCACTTCCCTTTTGATTTGTTGGATAGCTTAGCTCTCTTTGTATGGCGTGGGACCCTATTATTGATCTCCACAAAAGCCATATGGGTTCAACCTAGCCACTATTACAAGGTCTGGTTGAATTAACTACTGAAGACAGTGAACCCTTGAGCCCATCAGTATGGGCTTTTAGCAGGCCCAACATTTACACTAAATGATCATTGGGTCCAGCCACCTTATCAAGGCCCAAGGACTATGGACTTAAGTGAGATTAGCCCATCAGGTATAAACCCTAAATGGTCTTACACTTAACCTTTCAGCCCATAATGATCAAACACTATCCGACAAGAGAGGGCCTCTCCCTCGGCTACAAAGTACAGTATCGCATTTTCTACTCATGATGGACCCCGAGAATTAAAACCATTGCAAACTTTTTCATAAAACATAATATATGTATATCTGTATATAAGTATATTTTGCAAAAAAAATCTCAAACACGTTTGAAATCAACTACCAGCAGTTTAGGTTTCCATCAGAGAGTGTGTTGTCCCCAATCATTCACTTTGTCCGACAAAAGGGTTGGTTTTGTCACTATGATCACCCACTTAGGTGAATTCTCAGACTACCCCAACATACCTAGGTTTTGACCCCTGCAGTACCATAATCGAGTCTAAGGGTTAAGTGTAACTTTTTAGTTTTGCCCATCTGTCTCCAAGGTCCAGAGCATAATTGGAAAATGGTCCGGTTTAGAGTTTCAAACAAACTCATACTACATGTGCTTCAGGTCTCACCATGACAGTTGAGACAAGCCACCCCAACTGACTTGGCAACACATTAGTGTCAACCTTGGTAGGATAAACATCCCCATGTCTACCCAACAACTATGAATATTCTAAACTAACACGAGTCTCATAAGTGCCAGGTTTAAGGGTATTACACAGAAACACACCAGATATAACATGAGTCAATTATGTACTTTATTCATTTACAATAAATGTCAAAATGCACATCAATCTGATTGGAGTAAGGGCATACACTATCTAACAACTCCCACTTGCACTTAGGTCCAATCAGGAGGTACAAGCCGGAGTTCCATACTTTCCATGTGTTTCTCAAACACTTTCTTTGTCAGTGGCTTAGTCAATGGGTCTCTCACATTCTCTGCTGATGCTACTCTCTAAATTTAGACGTCTTCTCTAATAACAATCTCCCATAGATCTAGTGTTGTCGCACAACGGTGGAATGAGTGATGTGCTGAATTCCAAATTCTAGGATGAACAACTTCATCTATTAGGCAGCTTCACTTACGACAATGTGCTTGGCCTGGTTGTGGACTATTTTTCTTTCTACATATGACCCCATCATAAAGATGTAACTAGATGTAGACTTTCTATCATTTGGGTTTGCCTTGAAGCTAATATCAATATGCCCGACAATTTGTAGTGAACTACCATTGAATACTAGACAAAACTCTTTTGTCCTTCGAAGGTATTTGAGTATGCTCTTTACAACTGTCCAATGCTCCTATCTTGGGTTTGATTGGTATCTACTTACCACACTCACAGCTTGAGCAATGTCTGGTCGAGTGCACAACATGGCATACATGATGCTCCCTACAACTAAGGCATAAGGAACCTCTCTCATGCCCTTTGTGGACTATTTTTCTTTTTACATAGGACCCCATCATAAAGATGTAACCAAATGTAGACTTTCTATCATTTGGGTTTGCTTGGAAGTCGATATCAATATGCCCGACGATTTATAGTGAACTACCATTGAATACTAGACAAAACTCTTTTGTCCTTCGAAGGTATTTGAGTATGCTCTTTACAGATGTCTAGTGCTCCTATCCTTGGTTTGATTGGTATCTACTTACCACACTCACAGCTTAAGCAATGTTTGGCCGAGTGCACAACATGACATACATGATGCTCCCTATGGCTAAGGCATAAGGAACCTCTCTCATGCCCTCAATCTCCTCGAGAGTCTTGGGAGACATACACTTGGAAAGAGTGACTCCGTGTCTGAAAGGGACAAATCCCTTCTTGGAGTTCTCCATGCTGTATCTTTTGATAATCTTGTCCATGTAAGTAAATTGGGATAATCCTATTATCCTCTTCGATCTATCTCTATAGAGTCGAAGTCCCAAGATGTAGGAGGCTTTTCCAAGATCTTTCATGGAGAATTGTTGTGAAAGCCATACTTTCACCGTAGTTAACATTTTTACATCATTCTCAATGAGTAAAATGTCATCTACATATAGAACCAGGAATGTAACCTTATCTCTCACTATTTTCCTATAAACACAAGGCTCATCCAGATTTTACTCAAAGTCAAACTATTTGACAATAGAGTCAAATCGGATGTTCCAACTTCTAAAAGCTTGCTTAAGTCCATAGATGGACCAGTAGAGTTTATACACTATGTGTTTCTGTCCTACAGCAATGAAACCTTGTGGTTGTTGCATGTAGATATCTTCAGTAAGATCTCTATTCAGGAATGCGGTTTTGACATCCA